ATACGACATTTCAAAAACACCCATCCTGGTCCTTTTAAAATCCAAGGAGTGTTATGACTAAATTTCCTGACTGTAATTACACTGCAGTCTTAATGGTGTCAACATTTAAATCATTAGATTACATGAGCCCAAAGCTAGTTATTTTGACAATTGCCAATGACCAAAATAAAACAAACTTTTTCTTTTAGTTTTTGTATGAAAAAGCCATTAACTGTTTCTCTAGATGCATCTTGGAGTTCACCTGACTACATGTTGTGGTGCCAGCTAGTGTCACTTCCAAACTCAGGCCATCTGAGGTGGCACACTTGTAACTGCTACCTCCTGCTATTCAATCAGTTGTCATTTGCTTCTGTATTTAGGGGAGGGTTGTTTTGAGTTGCCTGTAAGATTTACTTGAAAACTTAAAGCAATTCAGAGATGCCTGTTGAATGGTGGTTTCTACTGAAATGTATGTATATATTTATATGTATCAAATACATGAATTAAATATTATCATTTTGAGGTACGTGCCAAGTCTGGATAGTACAGGGTAACTGTGACAGTGGCATATTGAACTGAGGTCCACACACTGAACTCACAGGGCTGCTGGGAATATTTCACTGTTTGCAAAAGACCTACCCCCTTTTAGGATGCAGTGTCTTTAGTTCTGCTGTCCATCATTCCATACCAATAGGAACCAGCAGCTGAATACCTGCTATGTTCCTGGCACTATGCGAGGAGATTTACATGTCTTATCGCGGCGGCTGCCTCCAGCTACCTGGTATGGCTGTCCCACTTTCAGATAAGAAGACCACTTGGCCCTGTGCAACAAGAAACTTGCTGTGGGTCACAGACAGCGGTGAAGGTGGTGGGTCAGGATTCTACTTTAGAACTGCCTGACTTCGCAGCCCACGTGTTTTGGATGAACAGTTTCTTCTCTGGGCTAAAATCTTACTTGTAGGTTAAAATGCAAACATTCTTGAAGGATTTCTGAGTCCTACCAGTCATTTACAACAGAGTGAGAATTGTTCCATCGGTGCCTTCTCAGAAGGGCAAGTTCTGCATGAGTAAAAGGTGGAGAGAGCATGAGGAGAAGCTCCCATGGGGACACTGGTACACACAGAAAAGGGCCAACAGGGTCATCGGGGAAGCAGCGATCTTAAGTGTCCTCCAGTTGCTTTCAGGAGATTTTAAGCAGACCTGTGGTCCTAAAAGCTGCTCCTCTGGGCTGGCCCGGTGGCGCAATGGAGAGTGCGCCGCTTGGGAGCGCGGAGGCGCTCCCGCCGCGGGTTCAGATCCCATGTGGAGACCGGTTCCCGCTCACTGGCTGAGCACGGTGCAGGCGCAACACTGAGGGTTGCGATCCCGTTGCCGGTCCCCGGTACGGGCGCGACACCGAGGGTTGCGATCCCGTTACCGGTCAGTAAAAAAGACAAAAAGGAAAAAAAAAAAAAAGCTGCTCCTCTAGAACCACACGTTGTTAAAATGGAAGAGGGTCCAAGCCACCCCAATCCATTTCTACAGAACGTTCTGGAGAAGTCAGAGTACAAGTGTAAACAGGAAAGCAAGGAGAGGCAACTCCGAGGAACAAGACAGAGGAGAGGAAAGAGATTTTGACAACCTTCAGGGATCAGCATCTGCAGCAGGAGTCCTCATGGAAGCCTCTCCCATACACACTGGGCACTTCGCTGCCCCTCAGCTGCCCTCAGAGCCTCACCCCTGCCTCCTCGTGCCCACACACTAGCCCCCCAGCCCAGGCACAGGCCACCTCCTCCAGTGCTGCTTTCCCCCTTGAGTGCCAAAGCCTGCGGCCCCTCTCTCCTACACACCAGGAGTGCTCTGCTGGGTTATGGTTATGTGTTCAAACACCAGCCCCTGCACCACAAATGCAGGGCGGATTTCTTATGAGTCTCCAAATCAGCCAAAGAATCTAGCACTGCACTGAAAACACAGTCAGCCACCGGACAGATAATGTACCCTGCTTGCAGCGAAGCAGGGATAACTTTCTTACCCCCAGCCCCACTAACATTTTCTGTCTCCTGGGAGTGGCTCATGCCTAGAAAAAAGTAAAAACTAACGTTTGCTGAATGCTTGGCACGTGTAGACACTGTGCAGCAGCTTTTATGTGTACTATCTCATGAGGTCCTGCTGGTGCTGTCTAGAGGCAGGGAGCACAGGATATGCTGAAGGGGGCTACAAAAACATCCAAAACTGGCCCACAGCAGGGCTGTGACCGGACCAAGTCTGTGTGATCTGGAACTTGTGCTCCTAGCCACCATGATCTGCCTCCCTGACACTCCAATAGCTGATGATGAGCGACACTCCCCATCCAGAGCAGCAGAGCACTCCCTCCCACCACAGAAGTCTGCCTCTCCACCCCTGGCCCTAGCTGTGCCTTCTGCAGAAACACGCAGTAAGTCCCATCCCTCCTTCACACCACAGTTTTTCAAATACGTGAAGACAGGGAGATCACGTCTCCACTAAGGCTTCCTCTTTCCAGGCCTAGCATACCCAGGACCAGCACTGCGCCTTCATTTAAATAACAAACTCACCAGTGCATTTAAAATGCAATTCAAATTACTAAAATTCAATCTACACACAGAATTTTAGAAATACATTAGATAGGGTGCTGCTGATTAAAATGTTAGGGTGACCCTTAATGAGGTTACTGATTCTGCTCTATACCTACCTCACACTGACATTTAAATAAAAGACAGCCAAATTCTTGGGTCAGGTTATCAGCTACACCCTGTTAAACACATTCGTTTTGCTAGATCAATAATAGGAACATGGTACAATATATCACATAAAAAGCTTCTCACCAGAGCTATGGTTACAGTCAACACTGTAAGATCTGGGCTCTCTGAAACTCACCCCTTAAAACCACCACCACTAACTGTGATTCTCCATTTTCTTTATAATCAGTGCCATTTAAGCTCTGAGCTAAAGTCATAGGTACTTTCTTTGGATTGGCTTATTTTTTTACTCCACGTGTACATATTAACCACCAAAAAAATATTTACAGGTTTTCAGAAAACTAATTCCCTCATTTTTAAGTGAAGGTTTAGTTTAGCACAACCCTGTATATTGGGAACGTGGGAATAATTTTAATGTCTTACCCCATCTCTCAAAAAAAAAAAAAAATTAAATACATCTTTTAGCAAGCCTATTCTAGCAACTATTGGGGAGAAAACCATGTTCAATTGCCAGTTTGAGTGAAAAACTGGGTGGTTTCTCTAGGCTGGTGAAATCTAATTGCTAACTGTTTACACAAATAACACATACAGCTAGCGAAACAGAAGCAGAGCCTGGCATTTTTCCAATGACTAGCCTGAACAGCCTCTTATCCAAAAGCATTAAGAAGAAAGTAAACTTTAAAATGATTTGAGAGAAAGGTCTATTTTCATGACAGATGGCAATGAGGGTTCTTCAATGCCAATTTAACCACTTTCCCTCAATTTTCGAACGCTTAAGCTGTAGCTCTGAGTGTCTGTGCAGGCAGCACTACAGCTGCCGAACCGGAAGAGGGCAAACAAGATGACTAATATGTGCTGTGGTTTCGCCAGCCTTACAGAGTCATTTTAGGGCAATTCTGCCCAACTCAGGAAAGTAATACTGTTCAATAGATACTTTGTCTTCCAACATCAAAAAAAGTTCTGTTCTTATGAGTACCATTTTTATGTCACAAACACAGAGGCTGTTCTCAATTGGAAGCATAATTCACATAATCACTTTTTGGTCAAATAACCTTAACAAACAGACTCTGTTGATGGAGAATTAATTGACAGAATAAATAGTCTCTGAATTTTTAAGCAGGACTTTTGATAATTTAGCACCATTCATTCATCTTATAAGTGAGAAAAGAAACTGAGGCCCCCAGCATGGACATTACAACACCCATTGATGGTGGCATTAGACCAGAGCTTGGAATCCCGACTCCAGTCTGGTTCTCTTTCAGCTCAAACCCTGAACTCAAACCCTCTCCAGGGAATATTTTAAAAACTATTCCGTCTCATAATGTTATTTTACATTTGAATTGTGTATATGTTTTCAAAAAAAGTTTTTAATATGAGGCTTGAAAACCTTTAATCCAATGAGAAAGTATATCTACAGATAAATTAGTCATGAAAGTTCTAGTCTCTGTGGCTTCTACACCAAGTAGACAACCCACATACCGCAGAGCTTTTGCCTTTCGGAAATTAAGATGTAAGCTTTACAGATATTTAATATTCTTGGTAATGTATCTCAGGTATAAGGCTGACAGGAGAGTTGGCAATTACATGCATCCTCTTATTAACAAATTCAAATTATGTAAACATCAACAACCCAGGAAAGTTACAGGAATGTCCCAGTACATGTTGCCAGTACATGTCCCAACCTCACATAAAGATGAAGTTTGCCACTAGTGTCCAATGTGGCATGTAAACTTCACCTGCTGAGCAACCCAAGGCAATGTCTCAAACAGTTATTCATCTAAACCCTCATTACAGAATTCAGCACTTTATCTGCAGAGCTGTGTATTCTCCAAGGAGAAACACTGAAAGAATCATTAAGACTACCTGTATTGCAGCAGCCTTTATCAAACTGTTTGGGTGAATAATTTACATAGCATTTTTCAAAATTAGCAATGTAATTAATAGGACATCAGAGACAATGTGAAAATGTGTAGTTAAGGAAGACTGGCAATCATTAACATGAAAACTGGTGGTTTTTTTGGAACAGATTCCCCTCCCACCCCCAGGACACTGTCCCAACCTTTTACTTCCCCTAAAACCTAAGTATTCCTTTCCTGGTTTCTGCTGCCTTCACACCCTTGCAGGCTGATGAGGGGGCTGACTGCAGCCAGGTCCCAGACAGGCTCATGCTTGTCCATCTCTGTAGCCCCACCTCCCACAAGAACAGCCCACTGCGCCTGGTCAAGGTTAAAGGTTCAAACAATGCCTGGGGAATAAGTAAGATGGTTTGCATTAAAGCTCTATTCAAAGGGCCTGTCCCACTGCAAAAAAAGAAATAGACAAAAATATTAATCACGTTTTCCTTTTAATAAGAGTTTTTACTCAAAAGTGTAGCTCTTGCTTGTTGTGAAAACCAGAAAAGCCAGGGAGCCGCCTCACATTGAACACCACCACGTAAAGCTGTGGGCCGCTGTGTTTGCAAACTCTCCATTACCAGTGCTGGAAATCAAATGCACCACTTTAAAATCAGAGCCAACATTTAAAATTAGGAGGATGATGCATGTCCTGCTTTGATTCAAGGAAAAAGGACAAGTTTTTAATACAGTAAAACAAAACACAAAAAGTAAACAAATCTTTAGAAATCACTAGATATAATGTGTATATATATATTTAGATAATTAGGATTATCATCAACATTTAAAACTATTAAAAATAAGGTTGCCACCTTACCTTTTCTTTTGGTACTACGGTGTTATTTTTTTTAAAGAGAAAAACAAAAGATTTTGCCCAGACTCTAAAGTTTCCCAGCCTCAATCCTGCTCCCTGCTGTGCCACTCCCCACCTTTAGCTGGACAGCCCCAGTCCCACCATCAGCTCTGGCTGGCAGGAGACAGAGCAGGCTTGAAATCTGGTCGTCAAGATGACAGGCCCACAAAAGCACAGCTGATGGAGGAACTGAATTCTTCCCCAGGAAGAAACTACATTTGCCCACAACGGGTATGCGAAATCTTCCAAAGGCATTTCTTCCCTTCGTGTTGTGGCTGGTTGTTAACTGTTTGCTTTGCCTAGAAGCAAGATGGCAATCTTAATCAAAAAGGAAAGCTAGATTTTTAAAATAACTTAAAAAAATCATTTTTATATAAAGCAGCAAAAACATTATTTTCCTCTCTGCAGAAAGAAAAATGTTAACAAGGAAACACAGCGATGTAAATGGACTGTTCATAAACTTTTGCTAAACCGAATTTCCCAACAGACCAAGCTTCATTTCAGAGCTACTCTTTAACTTCATCAGTGCTGTCTGAAGAAGATCCTTTGGCATCTTCAAGCGCTCTTTGACTTTCTTCTTGTTTTATATTTTCGTTTTCGGACCTGGTCCCATTGGGGATAGAGTTTTCACCATTTACAAGCCCATTTTCTGTGGCCTTGGCTTTGCTGCTGAAGGCCTCCTGCGCTCCAGCTTCCTCCTCGAGGCTTCTCAGGACCAGGGGGAGCCTGGAACCCCCTGCACTGCTCTCCAGCAGCCCCATGTTGCTCTCTTCGTATCTGGGAAGTGGAGCCTCTTCCTGCATTTGCTTGCCGTAGTATTCTCGGTTGACAGCTGCACTCTTCACTGCTTTTTCCAAAATTTCTTTTTCACCTAAGCGCAGTTTGATGGCCATCCTTGCTCGAATGGAAAGGTCATGGTTTTTCAAGACAGATTTATCTTCCTGGAAAACAAAAAAGAGCAAAATTAATTACAAGAAGTCTGAATCAGCAAAACTACGACGACAGAAGGGAGATCATCTGTTGCCAGGGATGGGGGCATGGGGGAGTTTTTGGGGTGATGGAGGTTCTAAAACAGGTAAATTATACCTCAATAGAACTGTTATAAAACAAGAAAGAAGAGCTTAAATCAAATAGTGCTAACACATCTGACAGAGAACTTCACTTTTTTAAAAAATCATCCTCTGTCCATCTTGCACACTGATAAAGTCCCAGGGGAGCACTTGGGTGAATGGCAAGAATGAATGAATGAATGAATGAATGAATGAGAAAGAAGTATTTGAAGTTAGTGACTTAATGTGAACTCTGAAAGCACAAATGAAAACTTATGTTTGTGGAATTATATAAATTAGAAATTATAAAAAAGTACTAAATTTTTAAAAATTTATTTTCTAATGAACATACCTAAATATAATTTTCTGGTAAGTGTAAGCATGTTAAATAGAAAACTATTAATAAGTTGGATGAAAAATGTCAAATACACAATTATTTTGCAGAAGAACTATAGTAATTTACATTTAAGAAGGAATCACTTACTAAAACATCTTTAAAAATATAACAAACTCAAATCCTCATCCATTCAGTCTAATTACCTCAATAGTCGTTTTATATGTTTTTAGAAGAAGTGAGGCTCTATCTTCAAGAAATGTCCAAAGTTTGACCTCATTTTCCCAGCTAACAGGAAATTCAGAGTTACCCAGGGTGAAGATTCTATCGATAGCATTGTCTCCCAGCAAATGTTCTTTCAGTTCTTCTACAAGAAACACAAACAGCAATCTGTTAGGGAAAAACAGCACTACCTTCTCATTGAAACAAGCAGTCCACCTTAGAAAACATCTTTTCCAACCATGTCATTTGCTCACAGTTAAAAGCTCTCCCGTTTAATCAGCCAGGACATTTCTAGACTTCCACAGTAGACTTAGACCTAAGTTTGAGGGGAGGAGAAAGCAGTAAGGTCTTCTTTATCTGGGAATCCAGCTCAAGCCTTGACACAGCACTCCATCTTTCATTGTTCTTATGAGGAACACTGAGAGACTGAAGACAGTTTCACAAGACACTTTTTAGAGACAATTTACCGCCACATGCCCCTTATTTTGACAATATTTTGTCTTCGGACATCCTCTTCACTAGCTGTGAGCACAGTCAGGCCAACGGGACCAAAAAGACATTTAGGTGAATGATGCACATAGTAAAAACGAACAACAATCACAACAAGCCAGCCCATCCTTCTAAATCTAAATCTGACTTGTTACTTATTCTAGTAGTTGACCTGACAAAGCTATTTATCTCATTTTATAACAAGTAAGCCACAAACTGAAAGAAACAAGAAAATGGACTATAAAAATCTTAGTTAATGAAAAATGTGCCTATATCTCCCACTTGTCAGGAATTTAAATAGGAATTACAAATAAACACAAGTGAACATCTAAATTACCTTCAAATATATTTAAGAAGAGGAAAGAATTCAGCAACTGCTCTGAGCATTTTATCTCCCCGCACATTATCTCCAAAAGACCAAAACATGCCGATCCTATTCATGCTCAAAAAACATACCCATCCTTCTTATGTAATTAGGAGACAGTATCGCTTTCAGAGCAAAATGCCCCACAGCTGTCACTATTTACAATTCAAAGTGAAGAATTTTTGCTGCCAGCAAACCAAACTTTTATTAGTATTAGTTAGAGTAATTCAAAGAATATGTCAATTGTCTTGACAAGACAAATTGTCTATGACTAAAGAGGAACTAGAGAGAATCTACGGACCTAAAGTGATTCAAGCAGGTTTTAAAAAAAAAAAGAAAATAGGAGTTATCTAATGTTCAAAAAAGAAATTTATCAAGCTGTATTTGCTAGCAAAAGATCATGATTTTAAAATTTTTGATTCTTCATTTTAGTCTTTTATATAAAGCAGTAAAGATTTTTTTAAAAAGCTTCCTTAGTGGTGGAAATTTCTTATTAGAAGCCCCAAACGCTATGATTATTTTCATTTCCTTCTCAACCTGCCCAAGTTTTACTCTCCAATGATGGCAAGTTGAGGGGTGGGAAGCAGAGCTCTCCCTCTGCTGCTTTTTAATAGTGAAACTGGACTCACTGCACATTACTGGAGAAGCAAAACCTACAAAAGGGGAGTGAGTCGGTGTAGCAATGCACCCTTGCCTGCACACTTGGGAAATAAACCAAATGCTTCTGGAGTAGGTCTCCTTCCCACACTTTCTTCCAGCTAACAAATCCTTGATGTTATTCCTGCATTCAGAGTCAGCCGCCAGCCCTCGCTCCAACCCACCACCAGCAGTGCCTGTGGCCAGTCCGGACAGTGCAAAAGCCCAGCGCGCCCCCCGCGCCTCAGCCTGGCTCTGTGTGTGAGCTCCTCCTGGTGCTGGGAACAGTCACTGTCCCCCTCCTCCTCTTCCACCAAGCCCAAACCTTAATTGTGCTCCAAGGTCTGATTCAAATGCCTGTTTCCTCCAGGCCTCTGGTGTACTAAGAATTTCTTCATGGATTACATTATTTGTAAACCAGCAAGAATAACACAGGATGTCTGGGGCATGGGCCTGGGAGTTAACAGAGCCGGGTTCTAAGTCAGGGTCATCATTTGCTAGCTGAGGCACCTCAGCCAAATTACTCATCTACATGAGTAAAATGGGAATACTTATCTTGCAAAGCTGATGAGATTAAAATTATGTCCCACATTTAGCATTGTGACTGACACATAGTGAGTGCTCCACAAATTACAGGAATATCATCCCTATCGTCTCAAATTCCTTAAGGATATAAACAGTGACATTCAATTTTGTATCCATATATATATGCAAGAAAAGCCCACAGTAAGCCCTTTACTCATATTCATTGAACACAGGAATATCATCCCTATCGTCTCAAATTCCTTAAGGATATAAACAGTGACATTCAATTTTATATCCATATATATATGCAAGAAAAGCCCACAGTAAGCCCTTAACTCATATTCATTGAATCCACAGTAAGCCCTTTACTCATATTCATTGAACTGAATTAATGAACCACTACCAAAGTACAAAAATACCAAAAGCTCCCACTTGTATATCAGGGAATCTACAGCAATGTGATTGCTTATAAGGTAAAATCACCATATCTCACTTCACCTGGGTTCCGTAGTTGGTGTCTAAATTGCCTTTCTCTGTCTAGGACTAAGTTTCTTCTACCTCCAGCACAATGTCAAGCCCTGGATTTGTGCAGCACTTCTCCCTGGATCCAGACTTGAAGGCTGGAAGCCAAAGACAGTAGCAGGGCACAGTAGCTTCTCTGCTGTGGGCTATGATGGACTGCTCTGACCAAAACTGTCCTACCCTAATGCTCGGCAGCTTCCTTCCAGAAGAATACTTACTTATCTGTTCAGTTGATCGTTCACTCATTCATTCACTTATTCCTACCCAGTATGTTCTGCACAGGATTTAAGGTTGTGTACAACAGCCACACACACACAAATATAATTAAAAATGAAACCTTAGGGCCAGGGAATTTGCAGGAGTACATTTTAGAATGAAAAATAAAAACACAACTAGAAGAGGTCAAATTTTAGTATAAGGAATCCCAAATGAAGTGTCTTAAGCAAATATAAAAGTAGATGCTCGGTACATATATTTAACTCTTTCTGGGCCTAAAATAAGAGGCTGTAGCCAAGAACATTTTGTATTCTCTGTAGATGCTGTTTGCAATGTTACTTACTCTATCAGGATGCCTGGCATTAAAATGCCTGCTGACAGTTTCAATTTAGAACGCAGAGTTGGTCACAAATGGAGTCCTATGGCCCACACTGGCCAGTGCTGACCACATGACTTCATGGTGTCAACTGACCATTGACTTCTCTAGGTTTATTAAAGATTAGGGCACTGTGAGTGAAATTAGGCTTTGTCTGTCTTAAAATAAGCACATCAAAAACTCCCATCCACACATGGAGAATTGTGATATACTTAGACAATCCAAGACGTTTTTCAGATTTTCTTCCAATGCTGTAGAGACTTATTGTGTATTATAAATAAATATTGACAACACATTGAGGATTTACTAAAACAGATCAATTTCTTCTTTTTCTAATATTGCCATCTCACCTCTTCCCAAAAGTGCTTTAGTTGTAAGCTATTTTATCTTTAATCTGAATCCCTATGCTTTATACTTTCATGAATTAAAAAACAAAAAAAATAGTGAACGTCTTTTCTTCCTGAGATGATTTACCTTCAGTCATGCAGAATACTCGGAGAAAAGCCAGAAGCTGGGCAGAGATGGGTGGCTCCGTAAAATGCAGCGCAAACACACTGGAACTGACAAAGCAGGAAGCAAGATCAGTCACTCTGCTCCAAAGCGAAGTCCCTTCAATCTACAAAACATGTGGTCATCCTCAAGGAGAGCTGAGCTGGAATGAGTCATTCCAACTCCTCATCTGAACTGTGAAAGCACAATTTCCAGTCCTTGCAAAATGCATAAGGTGGGAGCGGATGGACTAGGATGGCTGTGCCTCGGCAGGAACCCTCTATGCCAGCTTTTCTTGTAGTCTAACCACCTTAATCTCAGACTGCACACAACACATGAAGAGAATTAAACACACCCGTGGTTCTTAAAAACTATTAACAATAATTTATGTTGAGTTCACACTTTAATCATTAATCAAATATTGACAAGTTCAATAAAAAAAGGTCTGGATAATCCATTCTCATTAAGAATGGTTCCTCCATTCCCTGGAGAACTAATAAATCATAATTCCTGTCTTCTTTATCATTTTACACCTCAAATGCAAGAAAATCTTAAAGAATTAAACCAGAAATTCTTGAAATCACTGAGGATCATGACTTCATTACAGAAACTAATGGTGGCAAAGAATTAAATGAAACAAATTGATTCAGGTCATTAACCTTTTCAAGGTGAAAGACATTAATGATACCAAAGTACTTATTTAAGTTAATGAGGATTTCAGGCCATACCCCTAGAACTGACTGTGAATGCTCCCAATGACACAATTATGTTTATCTGAAAATGCTAGTAAACCACCATGCATCTCCATGGTTTAAATTGGCTGTGTAACAGGGATAAAGGGATTAAGACAAACTACTGGAGAGAAGTTTTATTAACACACCAATTAAACACTATGCAACTGGAAATATTTCAAGTACCACAGGAAAGAGCTGACCAATTTCTTTTTACGTACGTTGGAATGCCGGCGCGAGCCAGGACCTCGGCCTTCATGGCGTAGAGCCTGTCACTTTTACTCACTCCAAGCTTTATTTTCACTCTGTCGTGTGAATTATTGTCAAAGAAAAAACCACTGTGGATCACAAACTCAGCATTTGACCGAGTGCCATAAAAAATGTAAATCTGGGATGCAGTGAACAAAAAATAAAGAGACATAAAACAAACTTAGCATGCATTCTTAATACAGAGTAGGGCAAAGGATTAGCTCTCCTATGTGTAATGTTACTTTACATTAACGAGACAAAGCAGCTCTAAAGGAATTACACGCCAACTCGGCATGTCATGTGTAGCAAGGGTGAAGGTGTGCAGTTTTCCCCACTTCCCAAACTGTCTGAGGTGGGGAGGAGCAGAGCGCCCACTCCCACCAGTGCAGGCAGAGGAGGCCACAGGGAAGTACGGGCTGGGGCCTTACTGGTACACAAAGGATTCCGGGTCCCTGGGGTCACCAGGCCTCTCTTAAAATCCTCTTCTCCTTCCAAGGGACAGCAGGGGTATTACTTTAAGACTGCACTTTAAAATTCATCATGTTCTTCCTCTCCTTTTAATACAGGAGAGTATTTTCTAGAACAATAGTTTAAAGCAGTGTCTTTCAGAAATTCATTTCTAAATCCTGTGGCAATTCTGTACCTAGCAGGAGAGTTCATGAACCTTTCTGAAGAAAGAGCAGATCAGTAAGTTATTAGACTAATATTTTTCAACTTGTCTTGATTGGAATGTCAGTGGTCTACAGCAGTTCTATTTTTGTATTATCTGCCTGGCTGTAAGACTGATAGACAGAATGCAGGTATTTATATATGCATATTCTCAAACTTACTGAAAGGCTTACGACTGCCCCCACTCAAATTATAAGATTAAAAAACACAGATTAAAGTGAAAGTACAAGAAAACAGATTTTAGATTCCTGATTCCCTTTTGTTTTTGCCACTTAAATACTACCTCTTTATAAAGAAGGCTCTAATCAACAGAAAAAGAATTGAAGGCAATACAGCTTATTAAATTAAAAAAAGTTTTAGTGTCATAACACTAAGTTTATTTTCAGTTAACAGTGTTACAAATATTAGGTAAATTGTGAAAATAACTGCATTTAAATCTTTTTCTTTGTGGAGTCAAAAGCACAATTCAAAGCACAAAATGTGTATTACAGCTTTAGGTTTCAAGATGTGTTCCAGAAAACAAACAATCCAAAACACAAAGCCCAAATTTTTCCTCCTAAGTTTAGTATCTTTTTAAAACTACCAACATGATATTAATTCCATGTCCCCCGGCCAGACCACACTCCATAAGATGGTACACGGGACCCACCTGTTCTCCAACCCGGAAGTCCTGCAGAGCCACACACTCACAGCGGTCATCCTCCAGGTTGTAACCAGTAGTGATCTAGCCATGGGAGAAGGGATAAAATAATGAGGCAAACAAGTCCACGTTCTGCTCAGTCATGAGGCTCTTTCTTGGCAATTACAGGATAAAAGGTACCCAAAGGTACTCAAAGGGTGCATCTGAATGCTTTATAAAACTGAACAAAGAACTGCTAGAGTATTTCAATTAATTCTATTTACACCAGAGATTGTTATGGAAAAGTATATGCCTGTAATAAACAAAGAATTCTTAGAAAAATATATTGTACAGATTATCACTTGCTAGTCTCAACCAAACAATCACTTAATACAAAGTTACTGCCTCTGAGCCCTCCCCCATGGCAGTGAGAGGTTAATGCCAGGGCAAGGGCCCCCACAGATGGAGCCTCATTTCTGTTCACTGGGGATCTGGAGGAAGCAGGATCCTGGGAGAACTCTCATTTACTTGTAAGTATTATCTTTATCTAATGTTTGGCCATTAAGAAACCAAAGTGGGTTTTCCATTGGATAAAGCATCAGGGGAAAAGAAAAGCTGTATTTCTGAATTATGTATATATTTTAATCTGAAATTAGAGAACTAAAATTTTCAGGAAAGCAAAGACAAAATAAAATTAATTGTTTCTTATTTCCTCTCTTTCTGCTGAGAGATATAATGTCAGAATTTCTAAGCCCATTACAAATAAATACAGAAAATCCTCTAACTATACCTCAAATATGCATCTCTCCCTAAGTTTTCCTGCCTTGGTGAAGGCCAGGCAATGTCATGGTCTCAGCACACAAGTTGCAATGAAACTCTCTCACACATCAACTGCTCAGCATTTTATCTTCTAAATATCTTTTGGATTATTTCTTTCTTCCTCACTCCCTTGTGTGGCTTAAGGTCCTTACTCTTCCTTGCCTAGCTTATTATTTGCAAAAACCTTCCAATTTCTTGAAACAGTCTCAGAATCCAGTACTGTCCCTCCTGCACTGCTAATTGTACAATATTGCTCTCCTGTTTAAAATCTTTCCACGGCCCCACTCACGTTCAGAACAAAATCCAAGCCCTGGGCAAGGCCAAATCAGGAGAAGACCAGCCACACTGCCCGTCAGCATTAGCATGGCATCAGCCGCGCCGGCTCGCTCTCACCCAGAGCAACCTTCTGCTCCTGTTTTGCTTCTCAGACTCGGCTGAGGCCTGGCTTCTGTGGAAGCCTCCCCTCACCCTGCCCTCCTCTGCACTCCCATAGTCCCTGTCCTTACTCCCCTCAAGCCTAACATCACATTATCTGTGTACTGCCTCCCCACCAGGCAGACCGGGAGGCCAAGAGCTCCCTCTTCATCTCTCTGTCACCAGTGCTCAGCACATTGTACCTTACACCTGGCCCTGCCTTTAAAAATGTCACTTGATGCATGAACCCTCAGGAGAAAAAGCAGGGTCCCCAATTTATATAAAAGCTCCTTTGTCGATGAAGATGTTTTTCATCAAATACCTGCCATGTAATGATTTATTTTATTTTTCACATTAATAAGAGTTTTATTATTATATATTTATGAAATTTTCCTATAATGTGTCAGAAAGCAGTGCCTCCTCCCTCTCCCTCTCCTCTTCTGTCCAAACCATTTTATTATTAATTCCTTCATTAATTCATTTAACAACTTTCTGACAGGCCGTTTTTCTATGGATACATTAATAAACTATACAATAATATACTTGTTAATAATAAATTTGTTGGTAATTATTTATTAAGGTTCTACTTTTAAGGTACTGTTCTCTGGCCTTAGTATATATCAGTAAAAAAAAAAAAAAGACAGGAAAAAAAAAAAAAAACCTCCTTCTCAGAAGTCTGTTGCTCAGAGCAGCCCCCCAATCTCTTGGATTGTCTGTAAATGCTCATTGATTATTTTTGACCTATTCGTTTTATCCTAGAGAATCAAAGATTTAAGACAGCTACAAGTGCTACTTGCTAATAAAGGTATCAACAGCTTGGATCCAAAAGAAGATTACTTTTGAGTCTAAGGAATGGCATTTCCATTTTAACACTAATCTTTTTTTTTTTTTTCCCTTTTGTCTTTTTTTGTGACCGGTAACGGGATCGCAACCCTCGGTGTCACGCCCGCACCGCGCTCAACCAGTGAGCGGACCGGTCTCTATACAGGATCCGAACCCTCAGCGGGAGCGCCACTGCACTCCCAAGCACCGCACTCTACCAAGTGCACCACCGGGCCGGCCCTTAACACTAATCTTTAAACTCAGTATCCCTAGAATCAATGGGTTTTTAACCATATGTCTAGAAGTCCTTCATATTTCTAATCTGGAAAGACCAATGAGAAATACAAAAGCAATGACAAATAAATGCAGCCAAGTATTCTAGAACATTATCACTCACAGAACTTTTTAAATACTTGATTCGGATTAAAATCAGCTCCATGAAGTTCCTACCCAATATCTGATTCACTTTTCTGACCCAAAAACATCACCTTGATAACAATATGGATTAAAGACTTTCCCTTTGTCATGAACACTCAGCAAGGAAAGTTCAGACACTCCCACCATGTTGTTATACAGGGGCCTGCCAACAGCATAAACAGGAAGGAAGGAAGTCAGGGGAAGGGGGAGGGAAGTTAGGGATGAGAATTTAGCTCAATCCATGATGGAGAAAAGAGTATGGGTGTTTAAGGATATTTCACAGATATCTTCCACTCTCTGTAACTTCAAGGCCTAAGATGTGGCTTAACATGCTGGCATCAACCCTCACACACAAATGTGCTAGGTCCTGGCCCCCTTCTGTAGCCCTTCCTTAGCAAGGGTCAAAATGTTTTGAGGTTGAGTGTATAATTCCTCTGTGTGGCACTGCCAAACACCTTTAGGGTGGTATTAAGAATTCATCTCAATGCAAGAACTTCAGGCCAAAGCAGAGGCTTAGCCCCTCCCTTGCCTGAGGCAACTCTTAGGCTCTGCTCTCCCAGAAAATAGCCCTCAGTTATGCAGAAAAGAAGGGTAACCACAGAGGCCTGCCAGTCTCCAGGGCAGTGAGGACATTGCTGCTCAGCAAGGGCCCTCTGCAGCGGCCCTTGGAAACTACTACCTGCAACCAGGAATCTGTAGCCACTGACTAGGCCCAACTCAAAGTCCAGACTGACAGGACAGGGAGCTGGTTCTGAGTCAGCCTCCGATCTAAGGGGAAAAGACACAGAAGAAAAACAAAAATATGAGGGTGTACATACGTGGAGCTGAGAGCAGCCCCACGGGAGCCTCACATGTGCCTGGTGGAGGGGTGGGAAGTGTGGCAAGTTGGAGTTTGCTGGCAATACAGGAGAAGGGGCCCAAGAAGACGGGCATGCTAGCACACCAGGGAGCAGGAGTCACAGGCAGCTCCGCCCACGCCCAGGCTTCCTGGGCGCCTGCTGCGTACCATGGCACTCTCACCTGTTGTTGGCTTTGTGATTCAATGGTAGACTTAGTAGGCCAGGTCTACAGCTGTATTCCAATTTAATTTATATGTTAAAAACAATACAGGAAGGATTAAGAGCACGATACACACACACCCTCCAAGATGCAAGCAGAGTGAGGATTACAGACCATTTTAATTTTCTTCTCTTCTGTATTTTTCTTATTTTCTCCAACAAGTATGTATCATGTTACCTTCATTATGGGGGGCGGGGGGATGGGGGACAAAAGTAATACATCATCAGACAAAACTTGGAAAATATTTTTATAAAAACAAAGGAGGAAAAGATCACAATCACCTTAACATTTTGGTATATTTCTTTCTCATCTTTTTTCCTAGGTATGGGTGGATATGTTCAACATTCATTTGTTCAGCAGTCATGAGTTCATTCAAAAAATACCAGGTACTGGGATATAACAATGAACAAAATAGGCCAAAAATTGCCCTGCATTCATGGGTCTTCCACTCTAATATCAGAGGGAGTGAACCAACAATATACAATGGAGGAAAATACAATAGGACAGGAAGGGAAGGCTTATGGGATAGGAGGTGTGGCACTTTTACACAGGGTGCTCTGGCAGCCCCACTTGAGTAAGTCTGTGAGTGCATCTTGCCCACAACTGCAGGGATGCTGTATGTGTTGAAGGTAGAGTGGGGACAGGTTGTGCAGGGGGCCTGTCATTTTGAACAAAACACACAAGATATAAAGATATGTACTATTTCTTACAGCACTGTGCCTTATAACCTTTTCTAAATTTGTTTCTCCAAGTGGCTAGGAAGTTAGTCCACGCTCACCATCTCTCCAGCCTAGGTGCTCATCCAGCCATTCACTGCCTTCTCCTTCTCCTCACTGCTCCTGGTCTGGAATTACTGTTACAGACTTGATTCTTCCGTTTCTACTACCATAACCAGGTTTTTGGGACATTGTTAGAAGCAGATAGCGTTGCTGGGTTACAAATTTCTACCAGCTCCCTCAGTGACAGTCGGATAGACTGACAGTAGGAAAATGATCGTCAGGATAGACACACCCAAAAAGGAAAATCTCGTCTGAGAAGCCAAGCCTTGATTTCAACTACTTTAGTTTAAAAAAGAGATTTACTGTTCATGTGCATAATTTACAATGTTATAATGTTAAAATAGAATTTCTTAAATTCTACCACACTAAATTTCCCATGAAGTCTTATAATTACAATAGGAAACAAGTCGTCAAAGGTGTAAGTTAAGTATGTAGGAAAAATAACCATTATCAGAAAAAGTGCTAGCACCCTGAATAAACCTTCTAAAGTTTAGCAATGTTTTTGCCAGGACTGTGGTAGGTTAAAGACTATTATGAATAACATTAGAGAAAATACAGCATTAGTCGTCATCACTTCATTATCATATTTTTTCAGATTAACTTTTTTTTACTTTTGGGGGGAAAATGAACAGCTTTATCCCACTTAGATGGAAGCAATCCAAAAACTAGTGTTTGTATGAGTGTGGAGGAGAGGGTGACAATGAACAGCAAAACGATGAGGTAGACTCAAACCAAGCCATTAACTACAGGTACCCGGAAGGATCGAGTAGACTGTGGGGCTGGTGGGAAGGGAACCTCTCTTTCACAACAGAGCCTTCTATACTGATTATTTTTGTTTGATGACAATAAAGCATGTATTTTTTTTTTAGAAATAAGAAAATAAACTCCAATGATCAATCAAGTCTGGGAACCAATGATCTAACCCCAAAAAAAGAAAAAAGAAAAATACTATACCAGATGTTAAAAGCTATTTGAAAAAATTTTTAATTTCAAGCTCATGATCGGTTTAAAATATCTCTGAAGTGGAAAAAAAAACAACAAAGAATGTAAAATTATATTCATTAATGAAAATAAATTATAAAACATGCTACTATTTCTTAGTACTGCTAATTAAATTAAGTACATCTAAATTAAGGCAAAAATGTAATTATAAAAGCAGAACTATTCTTTCTTTTCACAATTTAAATACTTTAAAAATTCAAGAGTATACCTGTTGCTAGACCTTCCCAAATTAGCACTCGGACAGTCTATCTTAAGTGTCTGGCAAAATTACATGTGTTCTGGCCATTTTGTGAAATTAGATGTGAAATAATCATTTACAGCATTCCTTTAGTCTATTTATACTACTGCTAATAATAACAAAGAAAGCCGATGTCAAGAAAAGATGAACAAAAAACTAACCAAAACAGTATACTAGTATAATGTTTAAAAATTCAAAATAATCTGAAATTTATCATATTTCTACCTACTAATATCAGGAGATCCTTCTCACACAATCATCTCAGCACAGAAAGGGCTTCACCCTACACTGCTGCTTGGAATTCAAAAAATGCTGAGAAACAGACCGTTTCCTCCTCTTACTAGCTGTAGTTAACAATAATAATAGGATTTCCATATTTTCTTATTGTCCCCTACCCGTGCTTCCCATGTCTGATGATGCCAACTGATTCCTGCATTCAAGGGCCAAGAGCCAAACGTACTCCCCCTTTTTCAGTCCCCCCAACACCAGGGAAAGTGAGTAACGGCTCCTGAACAAAAGCAGGTTAATAAATACCGCCAAGGATTTGTCAGCATATCAGGTGAAGGAAGAGGAGATAGAGAAGAATTAGAGAAAAGTACATAACTGGAAACAGTCAGCAAAGGAAAAACAGGAACATAAAAGGGAAAATGAGAAAGAAAAAAGATTGTTTTTCAATAAATGAGTATTTTAAAAAGAATAAGAAAAAAGAAACTTTGGTTTAGTCTGTGGTATAATAAGATAAGAAACTGAACATTTAGTCTGAAATTATGGCTTAGCAAATAAATGCAATTCACTATGGTTTTTGACAATGGTATAGGATTCAAGTTCCCAGTTTTCAGTGTTAACACAGTGAAAGAAAAACACTAGCTTCTATTTGTGGGAGGTGGGGAGGGGTGGCACATTTCAGTTTTGTTTGCTCCTTTTGGAGGGAGGAAGAATATGACGGGTAGGTGGAACGTCCACTTGAAAGCTTAGCAACAACAGCCTCCCAGATTAAACACAACACAGAAATCATTACCAGGCCATTGGTGTGATTACACATGTCCCATAAAGGAATCAGAGCCAGGGTCACTCGGGAACCATCCTCTGTGGGAATTTGGTTTTGTCGTGTCATAACAGAAGAGACTGCCCACCTATAACAACAAAAACAGTGAATTAAGGTCGGTACATGTAAAAGCCAATTGCAGTAAGAAATAAACTCAACCAGAAATTTAGTTTCATCTGACCCCTCACAAATTTTCAAAGCCTTTTCCTAACTAAGTAATAAAGGTAATGCTCGGCCTTCTCGATCATCATTTACAACTAAATCCAGAGTTGAGGGGAGAAGGGGAAAATGGAAGGAAAAGGAGAGCCAAAGGAAATGCAGGGCTAAGTGACTGAGGGAGGCTGCTCACAGGAGGGAGGGCTGGGAACAGAGGGCTCCGTCCCTGCCTTTGTGGCAGGTTCCTGACTGACAAGACCTCCCTCCCCAAGGCCAACCCTACCTGCTTTTACCCAAATGCTGACTCTGCACCTATATTAAGCCTCAGTGAAAAGCAAACAATATAACTACTTTCTGATCTAAAATCCTCTAAGAATTGTACGAAATGTGGAATGCATTTTTTTTCTAACATTGTGCAGTGAATTAAATCTTCTCATTCAAAAAGAAGGTCCCCGTTTACACTAACATAGTCTATTTAAAAAAAAAAAAATCCTTTGGACCACCCTACACTAATGTTAATCTCAAGTAGCATTTGGCTACCTCAACTAATCCCCTACCACTACAGGTTAATGGCAATTTCTAAATGGCTATTAAAATGCCGATACTTATCCAAGCTGCTCATTATAACTTCTGAAAGACTATCTCTGTTTTGATGCTTCAAATGGTCACAGTAGGTCACTTCTTAGCTGAAGCATTTCTCCCACTTCCAAGATCCCACATTCATTTAGAAACCACCCCTAACACTCACACACCCCTACCCCCACACTCCACACCAACCTGTAGTCCTCATAAGTGAAAGAATCCTTCAAGGGCAGTTTGTTGGCATGAGGATGGGTCTGGGAATTAGAAGTTTTAGAAAGCAGAGGTGTAAAGAGAAAAAGAGAAAACAGAAATCAGTCAGCAGAATTTCATTATTTAGCTGCCTAACAGATCCTAACAAGAGCCAAATGAAGCAGGAGGCGTCCAGCCGCGCTACTGAGGGATCATCAAGCTATTATGCTCTCATACATCACTGTCAACTTAATTTGTTGTGCCCAGCAGCCGCCATAAATCTGCTTCTTCATATTTCGATGCTAGAACCCACAGACACCATGCAAAATAAAATTTAAGGTGGACTGACTTTACAAAAAGGCAGGCACACCCACGCCGAGAGTATGGGTGCGCCTGCCTTTTGTAAAGTCTGAGCCTCCAAAGTTAGGTGTCTGACCTGGCCTTCCTTTGTATCTTACATAAATAGGTTCTAAATCTCTTCTTATGTCAATAAAAGGAATAATTAAAGGCACTTTAATAAATAAAAGTTCTTTCATTTATCTCTGACAAATCATTTGATGGGAATCAACTTGCTATGTACAAATGAATCATACACAGGGCAAATGTGGATCAAGTACAGAAAATAAAAAAGGTACAGTTTTATGAGATTATAAAATAAATTTTACAAACAACTAAGATAGAGATAAAATAGAGATCAGCATATTTAAATTTTACTATTTTTTTTTTTCTGGACAAAAGAACACTTGATAGGCCGGCCCGTGGCTCACTCGGTAGAGTGTGGTGCTGATAACACCAAGGCCACGGGTTCAGATCCCACATAGGGATGGCCGGTTTGCTCACTGGCTGAGCATGGTGCTGACAACACCAAGCCAAGGGTTGAGATCCCCTTACCGGTCATCTTTAAAAAAAAAAAAAAAAAAGAACTCTTGATATCCAAAACTTCACACTTATGAGAAAATTTTATACATTTCATATTGTCTCTTCACAATGTCCCTCCCTTAGACCTTTCAAGGACTTAAAAACTTTATCTCAATTAAGAAATTAAAAGCTGTAACAGTATAATTTTAACCTTCAGTTTCAATTACAGTCTGATAGACAGATTGCAGTAAGTGATCAAAGGAACAAACGGTTCTTTATGAGCTAGAGATGAAACTCTGTTGCGGCGGAGTCTCTGCACCACTGTTAATGTACAAAGCTCCACAGAGCATGCAGTTTTTACTCTGACGTGCTGGCATCACAAGTGCACTGTAATTTATCATCGCTCACTGTAATGTACTCCCTGGCACCGTATGCAGGACAGTAGGGGATGAGGTAAAAGTGGCTCAAACCGTAAATCAATTAGAAAACAAAAGCTTGTGCTCGGCACGCAATTTTAGGCAAATTATATATTACAAAGGGCTGCCAATTGGGGGTTAGCTCCCAGGTGCCTGCTTCTCCCCTCTAGTCTTTAGCCCCATTTTAACCCTTTGGAAGAAAAGTCAAAATTCAAAAACATGTTCCCATATTTTTTTTAATGTCCATTCAAGATAACAAAAATGCAATTAAAGGAGATATATTTTAAGTCAACATATAAAATAACATACTGCCCAGGGGCATTTTCCAGACGATACAGAAAGATCAGGAAATCCTACAGGAGAAGGGAATCAATAGCACAGTCAACTACAGCAAAGGTGCAGAAATCCTAGAGAACCAAAGTTTCTCACTCCCTTTGTAATGAATGAAATGCGAGGCTATGTTCTAAGAGTTCCAAAGACGTTTTCCATTTAATTATTAAACTTAACCACAACAGGGTTCAGGTTTTTCCTTACAAAAGTACAGATCAGCACATAAGAATTACCCCTTCCCCCAAAACTCATTTGATCAAAAGAAGTACCACAGAAAAACTTTGAAACTGTAAAGAAACAGAATTTTATTGCTAAAATAACCCTTTCACTTATAGTGAAATGAAATTTCACATTATCTTCTTGGCTGGGAACTTTGCACACCCGTCTCTTTTCAAACTCTAGGAGGTAAGAAGGTGCTGTTTTTGTTATTTTAAAATAGTTTAATTCATTTAAACTGTGGAACTCCCTATAGTATTTTGAAAGTTGGTAAATTCCAATGCTAAATCCCTTAAGTACTGAAAATTTAACTCCCCACCCCAAAAGTGTGACTTATTAAATAGGAGAAAAAATGAAAACTTCCAAAATTGGAATGCTAAATCTCAAAATAACTTCAGGAAGAATCTTCCAACCCCAGAGTATCTTTCAATAGCCTTGGACCCTATAGAACTATTCAAACATAGGTGACCTCCTCAGGGACCAAACGGATGGAAAATTAACTCTGCAAAATGTTACCCTTCCTACTATTGATATATGTTTCTTACCCAACATGTAAGTTCATGCTCATGGTCCTGATGAAGTCATAAAAAAAACCCAGGAAAAAAAAAATGTTTGAGTACATTCTTCAGATTAATTTTGAAGATTATTTTGGCTGTAGGTTATATAATATTTGCAGAATCTGTTAGAAATAGTTGTTCATATCTTCTTTAAAAATAGGGTGTGCCTGCTGTACGTAATTCTGGTGTAAAAAACTATTCTGCCACTGACACATGCACTTAACAGTTATACTGAAGCAAAATGTGACACTGGAGAAAGGCAAGGACTTCCACTTCAACAAGGCTCGCACTACCGCGACACTATCGCCACCTACTGGCATCATGGGAGAGGAGGTTACAGTCATGGAGTTACTGAATAATCTCCCAGGGCAAGGCTTTTACAGCAACTTACTATAAAACCCAAACTGGGTCTATTGAAATGGCTTGTTTCTTTACTCAAGTAAAATTTGGTTTATAAAAAATACCTATCCAATGTCTAAAAATTATTATATGGTAGTTTTACAAGGATTGTGAAATAGTCAAATATGAAAAGTGATTTGTATGTAAAAAATATTTAATTTTGAAAATAAATATTCTCACTTATTCTGAAAAAAAGAACAAGGAAAAGACAAATATCTATTCCAAATAATTTTCATTTAATCTCTAGACAGAATGAGTTTAAAAACCATAAAACACCAAGTTTTTTCCCTGTTGAAGACCAAGTTAAGGTTTAAAAATGCATCTTTCGGGGCCGGCCCGGTGGCGCACTGGATAAGTGCGCCGCTTGGGAAGCGTGGCGGTGCTCCCGCCCGAGGGTTCGGATCCCACATACAGACCGGTTCCCGCTCACTGGCTGAGCGAGGCGCGGGAGCAACACCGAGGGTTGCGGTCCCGTTGCCGGTCCCCGGCCCGGTGCGGGGGCAACACTGAGGGTTGCGATCCGTTGCCGGACACGGAAAAAAGACAAAAAAAAAAATGCATCTTTCAAAAATTATAATATTAATCTGAAGTTCCTTGATAGTTCCTAAAACGCTCTTAGGTGAAGGCATTTAAGCTTGTACTTTATAGAGAGGGTAACTGAGCACTCCTCACCTCACGGAGCAACTCCTATAAGGGTTTTGTTTATCATGACAGCCTTTTCGATAGAAGCCCTTCCCAACCTGAACTTTAAAATGCCAGCAGTAGGGCCTTTTTAGGGACTGGGGCCCAACAGGAGCAGGCAATGGGGTCTGTGAAGCACTAACCACACCCAACTCCCATCCCAAACTCTGTAATAAATAAAGGCTTAGAAACTAGCCACAGATTTTTTGCAGGTTTTTTAAGTGATTAATATTTTACTTTCTGGAGCATAATAAATATTAGAAGCTGGAGAAATATACAACTGCTGTAGCTCATAATCAAACTTAAAGCACAAAAGAGCTTACTTTTAAAAGAGGATTCTGGTTTACCTTATGCCAAGCCAGGCAACCCAGTAGAGCACCCTTCCCATTCCTTTTCCCATCAAAAGGAGGTATTCCATGTGTGACACAGTAATATTATACCTAGTACAAAATAATCACTGTGTTTGGGAAAGATTAATATCTAAAATTGTTTGTTTGGCTTCAATAAAAAGGAGCAATATTGCTAAATATGTAAGTATGACATTTTGCAGAATTTACCATATTGCATGGGTCTGGTAGCTATGCTTAAGGAAATTAAAAACCACTACAGTCAGCAGATTTGATCCTTATTAAAGTTCTGTCTTGAACTATCGCTCACATAAAACAAAAACAAACCAAGAAGAAATTTAAATAAAACCTATGGATTATAAGTGTTTGAAGATGAAAAAATGAACAATATTCTGGCTTTAAAAAATTGATTTAGCATGCAGCTTCTCTTTATAGTCCCTTGATAAAAATGAAATCTCCCTAACAAACACTTAATAAAACCTGTCAATATCTCTGGAAAGAAAAATGACACAAATGCATTAAGTATTAAATACCCTTGGAAAAAGTCACATATTCCATGAATTTTTGATGTACTATCTTGACATTAATGTAAAACCTTGATATTTATAATTGACAGATATTTAATAAAGTATAAAATAAGATGGCTGCTGTGCGGCATGCAAATTTTTCAGGTTGATCAGAAATGAGAGATACAGACGTGCACTTAAACTGAATAAACAGTTAATATGTGTTACACGAATCAGCTGCAGTCTTATTTTAAGCTCATAGAACAAATCTTTGTGGAGAACCAAAATAAGCAGAATTCGCTATTATATGAATTCCTAATTCAGAAGCATCTAGTGTGTGAAACAGCTTTGAGACATTAACAGCTCCACACAGGAACAAAATACATGTGAGTTAAGGTTTTTTTGTTGTTATTTAACATTTAATAATAAGCAGTTTTAAAATAAAGATAAGCACTTCCATAAATACATGGAGAGTATTCTCAAAACAATTCTCAGAAGAAACACGTTTAACCCAAAGTGATCCAAAATGTTCTGAGGAGAAAAAAAAAGGATTAGAACACATAGACAGCCTCTACGACACAAACACTTCTCAGAACCAAATCTTCTCTTTTATAAAGAATACTCTTCCCTACCTAGACCGATTTTTATAAGGAAACCAAGTTGAATACATTAAATAATCACCCACAACGAGGCATTTAAATATATTAAAAGGAAAGTTGCTCAGTTTATAAAGTTATACCTAGCTTGTTCTGATT